TTGGAGTAATTTTTGTGTATGGGGATAGACAGGGGTCCTGTTTCAATCTTCTGCATGTGGTCAACCAGTTTTCCCAGCACCATTTACTGAATAGGTTCTCCTCTCCCCAGTGGTAGGTGGTGGAGGCCTTGTCAAAGATGAGTTGGTTGAGCAATTGAGGTCTTGCCTCTGGAATCTCAATTCTATTCCATTGGTCTATATGCCTATTCCTTTACCAATACCAAGCTGTTTTGATAGTTGCATCTTTATAGTAAAGTTTGAAATCTGTTAATGTGATACCAACTGCATTTTTTTTTTTTTTTTGCTGAGGATTGTTCTGGCAATTCTTGGTCGTTTGTATTTCCATATGAATTCCTTGTTGTTTTCTCTAGGTGTGAGAAGAATGTGGCTGGTAATTTGATAGATATTGCATTGAATCTGTAGATTGCCTTGGGTAAGATGGATATCTTCACAATGTTGATGCTTCCAATCCATAAACATGGGGTATTTTTCCACTTGTTTGTGTCATATTTGATTTCTTTGAGCAGAGTTTTGTTATTTTCATTGTAAAGGTCTTTCATGTCTCTGGTTAGGAAAATGCCAAGGCATTTCATTTTTTGTGGCTATTTTGAAGGGAATTGTGCTTTTTATTTGGGTTTCTGCTTGTTTATTATTGGTGTAAAGGTATGCGATTGTCTTTTGCACATTTATTTTATATCCTGAGACTTTGCTGAAGGCTTTTATCAGTGTAAGGAGGTTTTTGACAGATTCTCTTGGGTTTTCAGCGTTCCATTTTTTAAATGATTGTTTTCATCTGTTTGCTTGTATGTTTTCATCTATAAGCATGACACAAGTCATTTTCTAAATATGTGAAATAGAAGTATGTTCTTTGAAATTTTCCATAAAACTCATCTCTTTACAGGAATTTCAGTGTTTTTCACATATATTTAAAATTATTACTATAGTAAGTTTTATTATTTTTATACTGATTTTATTGTATCATACCTAAACTCTCAGAGTAAAATCCAAAAAGAGTGAGAATATCTTTCATATGCTAAGACTATGCTAGAATTAAGGGACAGAGTTTTAATCTCCACCTTCTTGAAAGGTAGAATAACAATGTAAGTTACTTGGAAGTATATTTTTTCTGAAATATATGTCTGTCTTTTCTCATTTTTAAAATTTCTTAACACCAGTATAGTTTAATTGTTACATATTTCATAATTTATGTAAAAGCCTATTCTGCCTTTTTTATTGTTCAAATTATTAAAACTCTTTTGGGCACTAGAAGCTCTTTCAAGTTAGTTTCTGGATACTTTCGATATGTTCCCATATTTTGTGGAGACTACCTACCAGGGAAGACCAATTAGAATAGCAGATTTATCTTCTGAAATCCTCCAGGCTAGGAGAGCCTGGAGCCCTATCTTCAAAGTTCTAAAAGATAATCAATTTCAACCGAGAATAACCTACCCCGGCAAGCTAAGCTTCATCAGTGAGGGAGAATTCCTCCATAGTTTCTGTTCTTTGATTCCAGACAGAATCTTCACATGTGAAAAGTATGTTTTGTTATGTGTTTTTAATCCTGGAGTAAAAGACTTAGACAAAAATAAAAATACTCCAAATGCGTGTCCTCTAATAATTTCAACTCCAATTCCATAACAAAGTCATTATAAGAAATTGAATGTTGGGACTAATTTAATCATTTATAAGCTCACATGACATTTCGCGGTCTAAGGCCCAGATGCAGTCTATTTTCTGTTCTCCAATTCTTTTCCTCTCACCAGATTTTAGAACTATTGTTTGTCTTATAACATTAATGTAATCAATAACATTTTCTAAATTTCATTTTTTAAACTTTGATGTTGGATTAATACAAATAATTAAATGTTATTGGATGTCTAAATCTCCAAGTATATTAGATTCATTAGTAATACTCAGAAACTAAAAAAATACAAATATTGAAGAGTTTTTAATTATACAAATAGTGACAGTGGATCTTCATTGATTTTAATGCTAACAGTTTGATATTAAATACATTCTTGATAAGCAACAAATTCCTTTACTTACACAAGTGTCTGCTGAGTGAGAAAACACACAAAGAAACAACATGCTGTGCATTATACTGCTATAAATTCTATAAAATGTTAAATGAAAACTAATTTAAAATACAGTTCAAAAGTTGAAATAGGACACAGTGGGAGTAGGAAATGGCTGGGAGGGAGGAATTACAACTGAACAAGATAAATAATTAACTGATTAATTTTTTCATTATAATGATTGTTATGTTGAAAGCCCAGCTGAGCACATGTCAGTACTTATCTAACTGTGCACTGTAGCAGTTATGTCATGTTTATTTTCTACCAATAATTATTAAATAAAACTATAATAAATAAACAAATAAAGAAACTAACTTGAAGTAACTAACGGAGACAGACATTAAGATAAAAAATTCCTACCCAGGCTCAGTGATTCAGCCTGTAATTTCAAGCCTTTGGGAGGCTGAGGTGAGTGGATTGCTGAGACCACGGGTTTGAGACCCACCTGGGTAGCAGTCTATAATAAATCAAAAAAATCAGCCGGGTGTGGTACCACATGCCTGTAATTCCAGCTACTTGGAAGGCTGAGGTGGAAGGATCACCGGAGCCCAGCAGGTCGAGGCTGTGATGGCCAGGAGCAGGCACTGCACTCCAGTCTGGGTGACAGAGTGAGACTCCAACTCAAAAAAAAAAAAAAAAAAAAATTCCTGAGATAAATATGAATACACCTTTGTCACACCAGATTTTCTTCCCATAATTTCGGTAAACACAAGAGTGCACACAAATTACACTATGTTGTAATTATAGAAAGAGGGTTCTGTACACCTCACCATGCTTATCCCACTTGTGCTGGGTGGAGTCAGAGAACAGTTGGGTCCAGTGAAGAGCAGCACAGGCCCAAGTACCCAGGCTTGCCTGTACTTTGTATGATCTCTGAAGATATGTGTGTCTGTTTGTAATGTTACACCTGTACATAAATTTATCATTTATACTATATGCCATGCTTCCCCTGCAAATATAAAAGTAAAGCAAAATGATTGGTTCTGTTTACATTACTTATGAGAGTGTCTTGTAGAATCACTGATTTCAGAAAGATGAAAATAAAAATATTAAGTTTTGATGCCATATATCTATGAATGCATGATATAATAATGAGAGATTACATTTTCCAAATGCTATCCTTTCATCACAATCTCCAAGGACACTCATATTCTCTGAAAAATGCTCTATTTGAGGCTACACAACCTAGAAGTTGCTATATAGCAGAAGACATGCAAATAGGGTCATTCCTCTGCAGATAAAAGCCAGTCTAACGCTGAACCTGTAGCTCTGGAAGAGAAGCCCTAGGCCTTGCGCTTCTCAGTTGTTTCCATATAGGGATCAAAACTGAACACAGACGAACCACCATGGACTTTGGACTCCACTGGGTTTTCTTTATTGTTCTTTTAACAGGTGATTCATGGAAACCTGGAGCTATTTAATGTGTGACAGGATGAGAGAAGTGGAAGAAACAGTGGAAATATGTGGCAATTTATGACCAGGATGTCTTTCTGTTTGCAGGTGTCCAGTGTGAGGTACAATTGCTGGAATCTGGGGGAGGCTTGGTCCAAACTGGGGGATCCTTGAGACTCTCTTGTGAGGCCTCCGGGTTCGCCTTCAGTAGCTTTTGGATGTATTGGATCCGCCAAGCTCCAGAAAAGGGACTGGAGTGGATCTCATACATTAATGCTGATGGTGGTAGCACAGGCTATGCAGACTCTGTGAAGGGCCGGTTCACCACATCCAGAGACAACGCCAAGAACATGCGTTATCTGCAATTGAACAACCTGCAAGAGCAGGACACTGGTGTCTATTTCTGTGCAAAAGACACAGTGAGTAAATATCCTTAAAGCCCTGACAAAAACTTCCCTGGAAGGTCAAAGCAAAGGCTGAGCAAGACCCACACTATATGCAGCCACCCCAGGGGAGGATTCAAAGGGAGGTTGAGGGCTGTTTTCCTGTCAGTGGTATGGCTTCCTCTGCATCTGTTTCTCCTGAGATCTCTCTATGTTTATGATTCTGTAAATAACACTGGATTAGAAAAGATTGTTACAATAGAAGGAAAAGTCTCATGTACTCCTCAGTCAGGTGTCAATAATGGATGTAGAAGATGAGACAGAAGGGAAGGTGAGGCTGTGAACACTTTCAGTCCAAGACACAAATCTGTAAACCAGTCAAGAAGAACGTCGGGAGGAAGTTGATGCTTCTTAATTACCTGTTTGTCCTAAAATGTGTGACACGTCTATTCTTACCTCCCTGAGCTACGGTTGCTAATTAAGAATGCCCTGTGCATACCAGTTGTGCATATACCTTAGTAATAGGAATTTTATTCAGTTTTTTTTAGGGGCTGCTCCCAGAACATACGTCTTGTCACAAACTAGGTGATTGATGTCAGAGATGTTCACTGAGTTCCTGATCCCTGGGGCTGCCTGTTGTTGGAGAGATGGGAGTTAAGTTTTTAGGAAAATGAGGATGATTATGTATTTTTAAACAAAACATATTTTTTATACTCTCAGATGACATACAGAATAATGAATGTACTCTGGAAATAATTACAGCAACTGCAATAATCCTTATTGAATCACGCTTTAATCTGACGGTGGGCTCACACAGAGCTGCCTTTCTCTTAAGGAATTGTTAAATCTAGAGTAAGATCACATTTTCTTATATTTTTTTGTTTCTGATCATGTACAGAAATCTTTAGTAGGTTGTTATTTGCCAAGTATAATTTCTCTACTCCCCCCAGTAGGAGAAAAAGTGCTTCTTCCGCTGAATCTGAGTAATTGATCATGTATACCACATGCGAACTGTATGCATATGGGTGTTTTCCTATGGGGGAGCCTCCACTGAGAGTGATTGCTGCCGAGATCTCACTGTTCGTTCTGAATTTGGACACAGCGATGCTATTGAACACAGATCTAGTATTGAAATTTTCTCATCACTAAGAGAATTAATAATATAATTCCCATTTCTGTGACTTGTTTCTATTTTTTATTGGGTTGCAAAGTTGGGAAGAGAAAAGTTTTTCTGTATTTGCATTAATCTAACTTTAGCATGTACTGAATTAGTCGGGAGATGAACAACTTTGACAAAAACAGATTATTTGGGAATTTTAGTGTGGTGTTTAGAACATGTGAACACCAGCATTGTGTTTTCAATACACTTGCTAGGTACTCGGACAAGAGTCTCATAGATACCTGAGCAGCTGTAGGTAACATTGAATAATATCAGGGTTCCTCTAGAACTTCTCTGATTTTCAGTGGCATCAGTTAGAAATCATTTTATTTTATTTCTGGTTTCGTGTATGAGGGAGTATTCCCATAAAACCCAGAATTTATTTATGAAAAATTTGTATATATTTATGAAAAATTTATATATTTATTTTAAATGTTCAATTTCAGTCATCTTCAGGTTACGTCAGTTTAATGCAATACACCTCTATGATTTTCTTCACTGCTTAAAGCAGTATTTGAATATTTTAATTCTGATGCCTTTTAGTGCGTCTGTCATTGTTGTTCATCCCTTTCACACAGCAGAACATTTCCTTTTGAGGACGTTTTTCATTTGGGGAAAGAAAAAGCCACTTAGGACTAGATTGGGTGAATAGGAGGAAAGGGTTTTCACGGTCATGCCAATTTTCATCAGATTGCTAAACAGAGTACAGACAAGGTTACTTGAAAATCACCCATCACACAATGGAAAAACGTGTTTTAAAAAATCTTCAAATTTTCTTCAGTGAAACTATATTCAGCTTCTCAGGACATCACTAGCTAATGCACTATTGGCAATGGTTTTAAAGAATGCTTACTTAGTGGGATAAGCCTGTACTACAAAACATCTGTCCTTCAAAAAATATTTTCTCTTTAAGTTTCTTCTCATATTTGAGTAGGATGCTCTCTTGTTTTAGTCTTGTTAAGGGATTCTTGAGTGTGTTTTCCCTAAAAGATAGAACATGTAATTCTGTTGACTTTTGTACTTTTAAAAGTCTTCTGTTAATTTATTTATTTTATTACCCTAATACACTTTGGAAACATTGATGAAACTTTGAGACTCTGTTTGCAAATTCCAGATTCTTGTTACACTCAGATGAAGGCATCAGAATGTCTTCCGACGGGACCATAGCTCCCATCAGAGTAGGAGTATTATATCTCCAAACTGTAGAAACAGAGGTAAGGCAGGCATGGGTGAGGGTAGGAGTCTTGCTTTCAGTCTCTATTTCCATTACTTGGTACACCCTTCATCGTCTTTCTCATTCTGAGTTCCAGTCATTTCTGTCAAAGTAGGAAAATTATTTAATCCTATCTTTGATATATGTGGATGTTGGCCCGGGAAGGATATGAGTTACACCTAGTATCTGTACCTGCTTTTTCAGGAATGACCACATCTAATACCTCCCCCTTTGCACTGCACCCAAGCCTTGTGTGTGCATGCCCCCTGCTCCAAAACATCCTTCAGGGCATAATCTCCTTTGCTCAGGGAGACTCTCACTGCCTTGTTTCATGTTGAGTCTCTTGTGTCCATCATTGTTCCCCCACAAGCTTTCAGCCTCATGTCCCATCCACGTTTTCTCATATGGGGCCTTAATTTTTTCATGTTTTCCTTCTCCCTTGTCTCAGTACTTTAGCTTTTATTCTAAGAGCCCTATGCCATCTCACCTGGACTCATATACAGGAAACTGATAGTTGTGTGTTTCTGGGCTTTGCAAACCCTGATAGGTTCTGAGACAGTCTTCTCTTGGGATTCATCCATGACAATTAGTGAGGGATTAGTTCTTATTCTGGGCATGGTTTTTCTGAAGTTTTTAAAAATCTTACCCACTGCATAAGATAAAGTTTTCATATATAAACCTATGCATTATTTGACATATTCATGATATGTTCAATAATCTACTATTAACATTTTCAACTAATTGATTTTAGGTGTAGGTACACATTTATTGTGGGTGCAGGAACACCTGTTTTTCTCTGGAAAGTTGTTGTCTGAGCATGGCAGGTCACTTATGCAGATGCAATGCACATTTGTGATGGACTCTAATGAACACCACTGGATACTAATCCTTAGGAGAACTTCCATTGTGTTTAAATGCTTCACACACACCATAGAGGAAACGTAGGCTCACCCAGAGAACGTGGACATTTTAAAATGGGTATTAAGAAATGATAATAAAGAATTTAGTAAAGGGGTAGATACAAATGCCCTAAAATTGCAGTACCGGGAGTTGATGGGGGAATGGTGATCCCTTCAAGTCTTCTAGGATTTCAGAGTCCTAAGCCCCTATTCCCTATTAATCTTCCCCTGGAATGAAGTCATAATAACATCAAAGAACACTGCTAAGAAAACTCAACATGTACGTGAGCATCTACTGGAAGACAAAATCAGAGAACTCGTGCCTGGTTTATCAGGGACTTCATCATAGTGTCTTATCTTATTTATATGTATATGCTTTTGTTGTATTCTACTCTAATCATGAATACAACAGCTTGTTTGGGGTCTTGTATATTTATTTATGAGGGAAAATGAAGAAGGTCTGGAAACAGTAACATAATCAGTTCGATTTGATAGAAAACCCCTGACTCACTGACGCATGTCTGAGGCATTGTGTCTAATATCAAAGGATGAACAGATAGAGGATGAGGTTGCCTGCCTTTCTATAGCATCTAATGACATGAGACAGAATAGGCACTCCAAAAAGTCGCAGGAAGTAAAACTCATCAAGGGAATTTAAAAATTACATAACTAGCTCCCAAATAATGTATTTCTTCAAAATCAAGTCATGGAAAATGAAGTGAAGTAATTCATGTTTTTCATCACAAAAATGAAAAAAAAACTGTTGCAGTCAAAACTGCACTGTGCCCAGTGAGATGAGCTGGTAGACTCTTGTCAACCAACAAAGAGGACAGTTATCCTGGAACAGACATAAGACACAGTGATCAAACAAGAGGCAGCCGAGAATTTATCCCAGGAAATGGAATCTGATAGTCCTTTAGAACAAGGAGAACAGTGCGGAAAACTTGTGACTTTTTTAATGTAATTAATGTCATTAAATGACATTTCAGATAATGGACATTTACCAGTGTATTGTGAGAATGACTAATGCAGCAGCATCTACTTGGCTCTTTGAGCAGCAGAAAGGAGGAAGAATTTATGATGGATGTTGGACTCATGGCTCCAATAGAAATATTGCACATGGCACAGCTGATCCTAATACACAACAAGCATCTCCTGATATACAGCATTCCTGGATCACCTAAAAACTGATTGCATAATATCAATTTACCCAGAGAATGGGGATTTCCCCCATCTTTGAAATTGTAAGCTGGTTTTCCAAATGGAAAGGCTGGTACTATATACCCAAGACCCGCTGTATTTAGCTTTGTGATGATAACCATGGTCATGATATAATATGCACCTTACCCACGTCATGAAATATACTGTGATAAAGGAAATATACCAGGGACACGCTGAATGATGCAGACATGTGTAAATAGGTATAAATGAATGGTATTAAAGAAGGCAGTCAAAGAGTAGACACAAAGTTCCTAAAAAAAAAACAATAATAGGTGTGACTGTAGAAATGGTGATCCTTTCAAGTCCTCTAGCATTTTGGGTACATAAACACAAATTTTTTATTAATCTACCTCTGGAGGAATTTAGAATCTCAAACCCAAAATTATCATTAAAAATGAAGAGAAGAGCCGGGCTCAGTGGCTCAGCCTGTAATCCCGCACCTTTGGGAGGCTGAGGTGAGTGGATTGCCTGAGCCCGCGGGTTTGAGACCCGCCTGGGCAACTTGGTGAGACCTCATCTCTACAATAAATAAAAAAATTATTAGCCGGGGGTAGTAGTGCTT